CCCCCCCCTTGTCTTCCAAGCCGCAAGCACGCAAAGCGGGTGCAGAAAAAGGACAGCCCCCCTCTTTTATTCCCAGCACGTGGGGAACCCCACTTTCCAAGCTTATTTATTTTGTAGCATTTTGGAGAGTGGGTGGAAAAGGCGGACACCGAGCCCCTTCCCTCTGTTTTCTGCCATCCTGCCTGCTTTAGGAGAGAGCAGAGGGGTTTGCATTTATGGAAAAGATGCACCCCATGAACTCGGGGCTCGGGAGCCTGGCAGATTATTTGGGGGGGGTCACAAGCAGTGACAGCTCAAAAATACATATATATTTTTTGGGCTTAGGGTTGTTCTAGGAGGCCTTTCTTGAACGATGGGATTGATGGGAGCACAGTTTGGATCCCAGTCAGATTTTTAAGTGACTGGCCGTTTGGGTTCTTAAACCCTGCCGATTTTTTACTAGGCAACTAGAAGAGTGATATGGGGCGTGTTAAGAGTTTCTGTTGAAATATGCAGCTGCTTTTCTTCCTGTCCGTCGTCCCTCTAAATACGGCAACCCCTGTTTACTCTGAGGCATTGGCAAATGCCGGGCCACATCCATACAGACCTCTATATGAGAGGAGAAAGATACATCTCTCCTGCTTTTGCTGCTTGGAAGGGGCAGGATGCGGCCTGACCGGTGTCCGACTGCCGCTCCCATCGGCACAGCTGGAGATCAGGGACGATGGGGGTTGCAGTTTGGTGACGTGGAAGGCCATCTAGTCTGACCCCCTTTCAGGCACAGGAAGGGGGGACAGATAAAGCATCCCAGATGGGTGGTCACCCTGTTTCTAAACCCTCCTCGAAGGGAAATCCCAAATCTGTTCCACGGATGAAGAGCATTTACTTCTAGGAAGTTCTTCGTTGTGTTTATTTATTTAAAATATTGTTACCCTGCTTTTTGCCTTGAAAGGACCCAAGGTTTTAACCTGAACCTGCTGATTCGGGGCCGGTCCCTCACAAGCTGTGGATTTGAACCCAGGTCTCTGAGCCTGACCCTTTGGGCATCAGCAGCGTCAGACGACCAAGATCTCGGGCTGTTAAATTCCATTTTCCCCCTTAAGTGTCCTCTCTACGGACTTGTGAACTCGTTTACCAGCATGTGTAAATTTCTAGCTATGATATTTGCAGAGAGTAATGAGGTGCAAGCAAAAGATGGGAGACCGTGTGTATAGGTTGCATGTAAATGCAATATTTATAACATCTGCAAAACTGACAGGCGCATGGGAGGGAAAAACAGTTTATCCTAAATCATGCCATTATCGTTTCGGATTTCCAGGGCAGCTTTGGTTGTGCGGGTGGTATTCTTATTTGTTTGCTTAATTAAGAGTTTGGTTACCGCATCCTGGAGCTACCCACTTCCTCTTACCCTGGCCAACTTTGTTGGGTAGTTGTTGAGTGCTTTCCGTCACATGGAGTGTGAGCCTTCGTAGCTAAGCTTCTCGAATTCGGAAGATCTGGTTTCCTGGCCTCTCCCATCTCCGCTAGGCCTACCTCGTAGGGTTGTTTTGGAAGCAGTCCCGAGATGATGATGAAGAGGAGGAGAAATGTGTCTGCCCTTTTGAAATGCAGAGTACTCTATAGAACCAAGAATCATGGGCCCAGATCCTGGGGGCGATTTACAGTGGCGTAAGGGAAGCCTACGTACATGTTGTCGGCGGCTTGAAGCTTGGCAATACAGATCCTAGAATCTGGTTTGAGATAACAGTCTGCCTAGAATATTTCCCCAAAGCCCGGGTTTACTTGGGCTAGGGCATTCATCTCAGGACACTCTCGAGGACGGATAAAAAGTTCTCACGGCTCCAGTGCTCGGTCGAATCCTGCATTTCTTCTGATTTTCTTTCTGCTTTTGAAAAAAATACTCACTATTTTTAAATGGCCTTTCCTCCCCCCCTCCTTTCTCGCCGACTTTGTTTGGGATCCCTTTGTTTCTTCGGTTTTGTGCCACGGCCTTTGAAACGAGAGGCGAGGGAGACGCGATGGCTTTATCCCAGCCAAGGGGGGGGGGGAACCTGCTGGTCCTGAAAAATAGGGTAAAAGAATAACACAAAATGAGTGGGGGTCCCCCCCCACCCCGCCTTGCTCCATTTTCCCTCGAAAGGGTGGACATCTGGCGGCCG